CACCAGACATTACCCTCTTGGAAAAGTAAAAGATTCTTTCATTATTTTACAAACCCTCCTCCAGGTCCACTCCACCATGTAGCCATCGCTCTAGACTCCTGTCATGACCGGTCACCATGCATTTTAGCACAGCCATGAGGCAGAAGCTGGGACACCACCTTCTGTTCCCCAGGGTCTCTCTTACACTGATTGTAATGTCACACTCCCTAATCTACTATGTGTATTTTTAATAACTTGTCCTTTCTTATAAAAGAATTCAGAGTTATGCTGGTACCAGAAAAGAGGAGAGAAAATCATTTGCAGCTAAACTTTTTATTACAGCCACAAAGCAAATTATAGAACCCCAGATACTTGCCTCTTGTCCTCCAGGAAGCTAGTCTAGTGCCTGGATACTCCAGGACCTTACTTGCCAGTGGAATAGAAGCAACAGTTAGAAGAGACATTTTCAGCTCTTTTATTTCAGTCAAATACACCAAAGTAACAGAACCAAACCACTTTGATCTTGTTCTCAGTAAAGGCCAATCGCTAGAGAAGGACATCTTGCTTGTTAAGTAGAGATTAGTAAAAAAAGAAGAGGGAGACCATCAATAAAATGAATTGACCCAGTGACTAAAGTAGGCTCAAGACATCAGCAGTTTTAAGGATGGATCTACAATGTTCCGTTCTGTTGTACATTGGATTACTGTGAGTGGGAACCTGCTTGATGGCACCTAACAAAACCACATCCATATCCAGCCCCTCTGGTTACAAAAGAGACCCAGAAAATGTTATTTCCAGTCTACACAGTAGAGGAAGATGCTCTACACTCAATGGGCTGGAGTTTAAGTCCGTGCATCGCGTCCTTCACAGTTCCTGTGACCCTGCATTGTCCTGGTCCTTCCCCAACCCTGACTTCCTCACTGGCCACCTCTTTGCAGCTCCCGCGTTATCCAGCATGAATTGGCCTTTAGTGCCTTTCTTTTACATTCTAAAGAGCCTCACACAGAGCTCTCACCCATATTCATTTCCTGCATGTTGGAGATTAAGCACAGACTTGAATCCCAGCTGAGACCTCTCTCCCAAGGTGGCTGTGTTGGCCACCTTGTCAGCTCACGCCACTTGTGCATGACACCTGCCAGCATCTCAGACTCAACCTGTTGGTCAAGCTTACCATTTTCTCCCAAATTAGCTCCACCTCTTGTTCTTGTCCTTTATCCCATCACCATTCTGGTGATCCACATGTAAAGTATAGACACGTAGTTGGTGGCTTGGTTTTTCTCATTCCATGTCCAATCACCATATTTTATCATTAGGAAATTTCTTCTAAACTCCCTGTTTTCTGCTGTCCTTGAACTGCATGCCACTGCTGATACTCCAGGACTTTGTGTCAAAAGATTCAAAGTGTAAAGAAATAGAATAATAAAATCAGGAGTCAAAAAAAAAAAAAAAAAGATTCAAAGTGTAGCCACGGTGCTCTCTCACTCAGAAGGCCCTGGTTTAAATGCGGTGGAGATCAGTGTGAGAACCCTGTACACTCTGAGTTTTGTCTACCCAGTGTGTCAATTATCTGCTGTAGAATTTACTCCTTGTCCCCTAAGAACCTGTTGGTATGGGCCATTCTCACTCTCCCTGCTTTGCCAGGAGGTCTTTTCTGGTAAGGTTTTTCCTGTTATCTAACGCTTGTTGCCTGTATTACTCTATTG